GGATAAATAAGATTAGTTACAATCAAGTTTTCCAAACCTTAGAACTGTAATCAACTTAAACCAATTTTGGAAATGTTTAATAGATGACAGTACTTTACTAAAGAGAGCTTATTTAGAGCCAGTTAGTACTTAGCTTGTAAGCAAATACATTGTGCAAGGAGTCCTTCCCTACACACTACACTGTCACTGCAACCTCCTCTTCCTAGCCTAACGCTGTCTGTCCAGCAGTGCTCTCACTGTTTTTTCACCTTTATACCCCAGCATGTTGTGTGATTTAATTGCTTGATGTGAGTAGCAAAACAGTAACTGAAGATGCATCAATGAAGATGCAATTCCTGAAAAATTTGTGAAAATAGGTGGTTGGGTAGAAGAGACCCAATACCTGGACTGAAAGAGAATCTTTAACATGAAATTGCATATTATGCACCAGATAATTGACACGAGAGAATTATAAAACCTGGCAGTTCACAGCAAACCAAAGAAAACCATGGTTTATGGTTTATTCCTGGTGCATCTGCTTCTGTTTTCTGTATATGGTGCAGTGCAACCATTACATGCAAAAGCAGGGCTTAGTGGTATGTCTGAACTGTTGTATCAGAATTGCATTGATTTTATTTTATTATTTATTTTATTTTATTTTATTTTATGTATTTATTTATTTATTTATTTATTTATTTTTGTGATGGAGCAGAAGTCATTTGCCCTTTGCTAAACAGGAAGGGTCAAAAGTGAATGGTGCTATAGTGTTCTCATGGTTTTGTGTCCAGGTCTGTATTGCCCTGATGAATTATGATTGATTACATCTATAATCATGTATGCATATGTATGAGTGTGCAAGTATGGATAATGCATGTGTAAGTTTTGTAGAGCTTAAAAGGTCTACTGCTGTTGAAATGGTCTTTTCTGGAGCCCTATTTCAGTCTTTACTTCTCTTTCAAGAGAGTTATTATGTGGGTTTGAAAAATGTACTAAGAAAGCATCTTTGTAGACACAAATGCTCTAAATATTTGTTCACTGAAGAGTTTTGGGATCGCTGGTCTGCACAGCACTTGTAGGTGGCCTTAAGACAGCTGGCTGATCATGTTCTGCAGGCGCTGCTCCAGACACTAAGTGCTTACAGGATGGTATCTCAAGTGCTTCTGCAGGGCAGATATGGATCTTCTGTAAATGGAAGTAGTGAGCTCTGTTGAGATCCAGCCCCTGTGATAAAAGCATTTGAGAACTTATATTCTAATATTAAATAAGGATAATCCTCTCTACCCCAGTAAAGTATAGCCACCCAAAGCTTTTTCCTTAATAAGAAAGCAACAAAAGAAGCCTGAACAAACCGTTTATTTTGTATTATTTTTATTTGCTCTTTCACATAGCCACTCTACTCTCAGGTGGTTGTTTTTTTTTTTTCATTATTTATTAAATTTATTTAGTCTCCTTCAGAGGTGGCATGCCATCATTGTGGTCTAATACATGAAATAATTTTTAATATGTTTTCCCTAGCATAATTAGTGAGGATTATTTTATAGGAATAAAACTCCAAGATGCTGAGTTTTTGCCTCTAGAGTCATGTCTGAGTGGTGTGGTATATTTCAGCAATTCTTCAGGCTTGAAAGCTGGTGGCATAATGTAAGGCCAGAGTTTCTGTAGGTTAGCCTTTTTTTTTTTTCTTCTTTTTTTTTTTTCTTCTTTTTTTTTTTTTTCTGAACCTGTCACTGGAGAAAGAACAGGGAAGGAGGAACAGCAAGAGGTAGAGCAGATGACTCCTGAAAGAAAGTCAAACAGTACTGTGACAAGTAGCTAGAAGAAGTAGGATAGTCCTGTACAAGTTCTGTGTGCACCCGCTTTGCAAATCAGAGTTCTTAGTAGAGAAGCTTGAGCTTGAATCATAGAATCATAGAAGGGCTTAGGTTCGAAGGGACCCGAAGATCATGCAGTTCCAATTCCCCCACACCACAGGCAGAGACACCACCCACTAGATCAGGTTGCTCAGGGCCCCATCCAACCTGGTCTTGAACACCTCCGAGGATGGGGCATCCACAGCTTCTCTGGGCAACCTGTTCCAGTGCCTCACCACCCTCTGATTGAGAATTTTCTCCTAATCTAAATCTCCCCTCTTTTAGTTTAAATCCATTACCATTTATCCTGTCATTATCTGATTGAGCAAAGAGTTGCTCTCCATCTTTTTTATAAGTCCCCTCTAAGTATTGAAAGGTTGCAATGTGGTCACTCCGGAGTCTTCTCTTCTGTAGGCTAAACAGCCCCAGCTCTCTCAGCGTTTCTTCTTAGGAGGGGTGCTCCAGCAGCTTGATCATCTTTGTGGCCCTCGTCTGGACTTGCTCTAACAGCCCCACGTCCTTCTTGTACTGTGGGCTCCAGACCTGGATGCAGTTCTCCAGGTGAGGCCTCACAAGGGCAGAGCAGAGGGGGACAATCACCTCCCTTGACTTGCTGGCCACTCTGGTGATGCAGCCCAGGATGCAGTCGGCCTTCCGGGTTGCAAGCATGCAGTGCTGGCTCATGTTGAGCTTTTTGTACACCAGAACCCCCAAGTCCTTCTCCACAGGGCTGCTCTCAGTGATTTCTTTTCCCAGTCTGTACTCACTTTGACTTGTTGAACCTCTTTAGGTTCATGTGGGCCCACTACTCAAACTTCCCCATGTACCTTTGGATGGCATCCCTTCGTTCTGTTCTATCAACCACACCACTCAGCTTGGTGTCATCTGCAGATTGTGCAGATTGCAGAGCATGCACTCTATCCCACTGTCCAGGTCACTGATAAAGATATTAAACAGTACCAGTCTCAGGACAGTACCCCTGAGGTACACCACTCATCACCAACCTCCACTTGGACATAGAGCCACTGATTACCACTCTCTGGGTGTGACCTTTAAGCCAACTCCTTATCCACTGAATGGTCCACCCTTTAAATCCATCTCTCCAATTTGGAGATCAGGATGTTTTATGGGACCACGTCAAAGGCCTTGCAGAAGTCCAGGTAGATGGCATCAGTCTGTCTTCTTTTGTCAACTGATGCAGTCACTCCATCGTAGAAAGCCACCCGATTGGACAGGCATGATTTGCCCTTCGTGAAGCCATGCTGACTGTGTCAGATCACCTCTTTTTCTTGCATGTGCCTTGGCATTGCTTCCAGGAGAATCTTTTCCATGATCTTGCCAGGCACAGAGGTGAGGCTCACTAGTCTGTAGTTCCACAGGTCCTCCTTTGTAACCTTTTTGAAAATGGGAGTGATGTTTCCATTTTTCCAGTTGCTGGGGACTTTGCCTGCCTGCCAGGACTTTTCAAATATAATGGAGAGAGGCTTAGCAACTACATCAGCCAGTTCCCTCAGGATCCTGGGATGAATGTAATCAGGTCCCACAGACTTGTACCTGTTTAGTCTTGAACCTGCTCTTCACATACAGTAGGTGGGACTTTGGTCCCCCAGTCTCCATCTACAGGTTCAGGGAAACATGGCTTTCAGTGAAGACTGAGGCAAAGAAGTTGTTGGGTACCTTGGTCTTTCTAATGTCTGTCATTACCAGTTCACCATTCGCATCCATCAGAGGGGATACACTCTCCTTGTCCTTTCTTTTCAGAGCTTTGGGAGGATGGGTTCTTGTCCTTGTGACCCTGAGCTCTAATCCTCCAAGTTCTCATCAGGCAGGAAAGGATTTCCCTCTATCACTGACAAGATTCCTCTAAATAAAGGATTAAAGAACAGAGAATTGCACTGAGAAGAAAAAGGCGTAAACAAAAACGGATTTCAGTACTTCAGTGAAACCTCATTCACTAGAGTTGTTTATACATGTAGTTTTTAGCTTATTTAACAAAAACCAAAACCAGATTCTTTCAGTCTTGGACATACCACAAGATAAGCATCTCTAATGATAAATTACTGGGAGAAAGATGACAAGCTGTCAGCACTGGATAAAAATTGTGTTCCTATTCAAAAGTTACAGGAGTGAAAGGTACAACAATGAGTAGCAAAGACTTCCAGGAAAGAGAGAATCAAGACATGAATCAACAGGCATGAACAAAAAAATTAAATGTCAAAGACTAGACATCTGTCATGAGATATGTATTTCTCTCTCATCTTTTATTTCAGCCAAGACTTTCTCAGACTACTCTGAGGTCTACATTTGGAATTGTAGTGATTAGAAGCACTTGACTATGCCAGTACTTTTATTCAGAAATGAGGAAAGAAAACAAAAATATGCCAAGATGTAGTTTTATGACATTCAATGTATTTTTAAGACCTTCATTAGCCTAAACATGATATTGTAGTATATTAATCTTTTTCACTTTCTGTTCCCACTCTTCTTTCTAGTCATTTTTAAACTGGGGAATTTGATACACTCTTTCATAAAACATAAACTTTTTTTTTCTGATTATTTTAACATATTCGTGTTATATATTTGCTGTATGTGAGATGCAAACTTCTAGATTTCATGTGAACAGTCTTAATTTCAACAGGGGGTTGTTTTTTTGATCTTATTCTGTTACTGACTCTGAACTATTTGGAAATAATCTTTGTAGAAGGGAAGACAGGAAAAGAAGAGAGGAATAGAAAGTGAGGATGCATACCTCTAAACTAGTCAAGTAATCCTGATTTTCAAATAAATGCTGGAATAAAAGTTCCAAACACCTGTAAACACTCAAAAGATTAAAATGAGATGAATTCCAGTCAAAAAGTCATGTCAAGCCAATATTATTTCCTTCTTTGATAGGATAATGGGTCTTTTGGGCAGATGGGGAGAGGCAATTTCATTTGCCTTGGCATTATTAGTGTTTTTGTTATGTTTCTTACATGTTAATTTAGTAAATAGGCTAGAGGAATGAAAATGTATTGCTAGCTGAGTGCAAGACTTTGGATTCAGATTTCAAAAAACCTTGCCACGGAGTTTGCTATCAAAAAAAAAAAAAAAAAAAAGGAAAAAAAAAAGTATTGGGGAGCCCTGTGAGGGTCTTTTCTGGGTTTGATACTAATATGTATTTTTTTTCAATAGCCTAGATGCTAGAGAGGATGTGATGGAGTTCTCAGATGTGGAGGAGTCGTGGAGTTGCCAAAACTGGAAGGGGTATAAAGCATGCTGGAGGACAGGATAAATACTGAAAATGATCTTGATGAGGTAAGGTAGTTTGGGGGACAGGAACAGAGAAATAAGCATTTCAATAGGAAGATGTGCAAGATCTGCTGCTAGTAGGAGTAAGACAATGCAAAAGCAAAATACAAATGTGTGGATGTGCTTCTAAAGCAGACAATGAATGAATATTACCTTTTTCTGTACCATCTCTTTCTGTGGTTTTGCCCTTGCAGTATGTGTGTATAGAGTATTTTTTATTTCCTGTATGTTCTTTGTCTATTGGATCTGCCTTTGTGGCTTGCCCAGCCTCATTCTGTATGTCATGCTTCAAAATTTGTTTTTGCTTCATTTCCTGCTGTATGCTTTTTAAGTTCAGATTATTGAGGACCCATGACTTTGTCAAGATGAGCTGTTTTTAAGTTTTTAAATTTTCTTATTCTTCCTTTTGAATTGTGTAGTTGCTTTATTTATTTTTTTTTCTTTATTTAAAGTGTGCTACTTTTTTTACCAGTAAAATATCTTCCTTTCCTTTAATCTGGTATCTTCTGTGTTCATGTCAACTGTTCTTGTTCTTCCTTTTTTTTTTTTTCCTAGATATATTAAACTATCAAGTAACAATTCTGCTACTTGATTTGCCTTTGCATGCACAGCTGGTTCTCCTAGAAACATTACTGAACATTGATGGTCTCCCTCTCTAGCTGATTTCTTCATCTTTCCTTTCAAAGCTGGCCTTCCCAAATCATTAATAGAATTTTCTTTCCTTTCCCAGCTCTAGGAGAGAGATTTTCAGACAACTATACGGGTCACTTTTCTGACAGGGTGCTGTCTATTCTCACCTTTACCTGAGAATTTCCAGCTGAGCACCTTCTACTAACCCTGTGGAGCCAAAATGCAGAGCCTGTGGTCCTCTGGCATGGAGCAGCAGCTTGTCTCCTCCTCCACCCCAGCTGTCTTCTCAACATACTTACTCTGTGCACATGCAGCCTGTATGAATTATCCCATCCATTCTCATGCTAACTGGCATAGATAATCACACTTAATATTTAACATGTTCAGGCTCTTCTATTAAGTTTCCCACTTTTCTTTCACTGGTACAGATGTCTAAAGTGTTCTGTAGATGGACTGTTTATTTTTGTTTTCTTACTATCTTGTATGACTTATTTTAAGGAATAATCATTGTCAACTTTCTCACTTCTTCCTGTGTCTCCCTTTGCTCCATTTCTGCCCAGGCTCATGTAGTTATAACATGTTTGGGTTCATGTTAAGGGTTCTAGGTAATCTTACTTGTTCTTACTGAGAATAGCCTTTGTTGTATAGTTGGGGGGAAAAAAAAGGCAGATATAATTGGCAGGTCATCAGGAAAGATATTTCCTGTGAAGAGAGGAAATATTAGTCGTAAGCACTGATGAAACACAGATGTGGAAGAAGGATACAGGAAAAATAAAAGCTGACAAGAATCAATGCAGACACTTGGTATTAAAGGGGACGGTGATCCTCTGGTGCAAAAGGAAGCTAAAAGGCTTCTAAAGGCTCTTTTGCCTATCAAAATAAAGACAAAGAAAGGGATTGTTATTCGTACGTAAATCTAGCAGCTGAACAAAACGGTAAAGAGCTAAATAAGCTAAAGGATGGTGGATGCTGGAACAAATGCATGTAAATATGTTACAGGCTAGATGCCGGAAGACGGCTGCTGACCAAGGGAGAAAACAAGTTGCTAGAGCAGCTTCCACTAGAAGAAGGGTTTAGAAATTTAGAAAATTCTCTGGCTAGGAGGTTGCAGAAGACATGGTAAAATGGTCCAACAGTACACTACCTCTCAGCCCTACGCTTTAGAAAAGATTTAACACATTAAATTCTGTCCCACAGGCTCACTTTATTTTTTTTTTATTTTTTATGTTTTTGACACAAACATCCTTATATCCCCTATGTAATTAACAGCAGGGACTGATTTAGAAAAACTGCACAAATGTACCTGGCATAGTTCTTTGATGCTGTGAGACAAAAAGAGCAGTTTTCAGAAGAGAGAAAAGAGTGGCTCTTGGTTTTAAGGATTATCTAAAGGGCTAAGTGGTAACTACTATTATGTTTGGTTTATTCTTTGTCTCCAAGGATTGATTGCTCATCTTAAAAAAAAAATCAATGGTTGCCTAGTGACGGGCAATTACACTATAATTTGATTTCTTGTGTACAGATAAAATATTGTGTTGGCACATAATGAGTCTGAAGTTATGATTGTATCAAAGTTTTGAGATTTTTAAGCAAGACATGTACATTGTTTTTGGCATTTCTATAAGCCTCTTGCATAGTTAATGTGTGGAAGAATTACATTCAAGGGTAGAATAAGGAGACACATATTGTTTGGTTGATTTAGCTTTGTTTTTATCCTATAATACATTTTCTTTTTTTTTCCAAGTAAAAATAAATAAATAAACATAAAATCTGTGCAGGTGTTCTCTGCTATGAACCCTAGCTGTCTGAGCATCACTGACACTGGCAGAATCAGTTGTCTGCTACTTATTTATTTCAGTTCATTTGAACAGGAGAGTAAATTCCTGGTGGATGTGAATTTGCTGATTGTGAGTTCCCTCAAAATAATGAAATAAGACATTGGAAAGACAAGTCACAAGAACTGTAATAAAATTGTGTTGTTCTTATTTACAAAGATTTGTTTGGGCTTCTGCAGATTCATGTCATTGTAAATTGGATCCTTTCCAAAGGATAATTGTTTTTCTGAAAATTAAAGTGAAAGTAAAATACATAACAAAGGAAAGAGAAGATATATTGCCACTGTATCATCCTTAATTTATGAGGAGCATGAATTTGAAAAAGATGTTTATTACATGCTGTCAGATTTCTCTAGTACAGAAGTTTCAGACCAGAATTATTTTTGTACTGGTTCTGGTCTGTGTGTGCGTTTTCATGGGGGAGGTGTGCAAGGTCTCTGCTGTTTCTCCAGGAACATCATTATTACTTATTTTGGTTGCAGTTTCTGAGGGAGCAGCTGTCATATTTGCTCCATTTGCAGGCGTGAACGTGAAGTGCAGCACCTGGCTGTGCTGGAAACATTTCTGCTTCACTGAAGGTCAGCGTAGGCTGGGAAAAGTGCAAGGAACTCTCTTCTGAGGTGTACTTATGCGTAAAATCACCCAGCTTGCTTATGGCAGTCTTGTGGGTGATTCTTTTTACTTTTCAGCTGGAATACTTATATAGACAAAACCCAAACATTTACATGATATAAAAATTGCTTGCTTTAGTTTATTAATGAACAACAGGAGTAGTGAATGGCATTTTAAGTGCTACCAAACACTATTGTTATGCAATCACTTTCCATTGACTTTCACATATGGTCTGTGAGGATGTAGTGATGAACGTGACATTACATGGTAGAATTCTGAGCTTAACAAAATGCTGTTTATTTTGATATGCCGTTTCAGTTCATACCTTATATGAATAGCATATCAAAGTCTTCATATGAAAATGAAGCAGCAAGATATTTTCTAACCAGTGATACACAACCTTGTAAGGATTTAAGTCTAGATGGTGCTTTTTTTTTTTTTTTTTTTTTTTCTTCCCTCTCCCTTGTTTCACTTGGCTTTTTCTTCTGTTTAATGAAGAATCATGGGATCATGATTAACCATGAAATAATCATGAGGACTTAGCAAGGTGATGTCATCTTCATATTTTATGCATCTATGGACAGCTGAATGGAAATCAGAAAGAAGCACAGGGAAATGGGTATTATATGTAGGTGGCATCATCTATTATCTTACAGCAGGTACTATAAAAATATTTGAAACGTCTCAGAAAGGAACCATAATAAAGAATTTCAAATACTGTCTTCAGAAGAGCTCAGTGGGTTTGGTTTCTCCTGGAGGAAGTTTTTGTTTGGCTGGGTGCCAAGAGCTGACGCAGAGCAGTGGCAAGAAGGGCATCTTCCATCCTGTGGCCAGCAAGGTGGGTGTCACACAGCCAGAGCTGGGAAAGGAGAGAGGAGAGTCCTCCCGAAACCTCGCTGAGATCATCGTGGGAAAATGGGGAATTGTGCTGATGAGGGTTAGAAATTAGAGAGTGACGTCCTTCTAATTTGCTTTACATAAAAGTTTATCTCAATGGCATCCACACTTTAGGTCCAGGTTATACATCAATGTGTAACTAGTGGAGCCTGTTAATAAGGAAAACGTTTCCTGCTGTTAATTATCCACGAGGGGGAGCTAGAACTGTCTTGAAATGTCAGCAAGAAAGCCTGCCAAACAATACAGCCTAAACTCATCCTTGAAGCGCTTGTAATATCTTTCCGTGCAATCCAGCTGCTGCAGAGAAACACTTCGGAACAGCCGGGGAACTGCTCTAATCCGGTGAAACTGCAGTCAGAAAACATTTTTTTAATTTAATTTTATTTTTTTTTCCTATATACCTGGTAGGTGCTACACCAAGGAATTATTATTAGCAGTGCCAAAAAATTCTGCTATGGCATTGCAAAGAGTCTCACTGCCCTGCCTTGTTTGGATAACTAGCCAAAAAAAAAAAAAAAAAAGGCAGTTCCTCATCTACATTTATTGTGGTGCATATCATATCTGAAGCAACAGAGGCAGGAGGCAAACCAGGGTGGGGGGATGGGAATGGGAATGACTGGAAATTAAATATGCACCTCGCTGTGCAGTAGAAGGTAAGAATACTTTTTGAATTTGTAAAGCTAAGGACCAGGACCTTCTAGGAATATGTGTGCTCATGGGAATAAAAAAAAAAAGAAAAAAAAAAAAAAGAACAGATTTACAAAATATGTTAGTGTTTGATAGTGGATTTCTGAATGACTTAGGGTTTTGAAATCAACATCAATAAAAAAGATTAAATTAAATGGTCTGAAAGAAAAGCCAGAGATATGATAGGGCTAAAATGGGGCAACCTCTACTTCCTCTGGCAAGTCAGTGTCCCTAAAGAAGGTCAGCTGGTAGGCTGGTAGTGCTGGTTGAACAGATGAAGTTCAAGCTGAATACTATACCAGGAATGTGAACCTAGCTGAATAAACATACAGCTTCTCCAAGGAGATTTCTGAATCAGAGAGGTGTCCGACATCAAATGCAGAGGTTTGCACACATGAAGACCTATAGATACATAAGAATGAGAAATTACTGAAAACTTTTACATGGGCAAAGTATAGAAATACTCTTATTTTCAAATCAACAACATTAAGCAACAGGAGTCTCATTTTTGCTCTGAAAACTGTTGGTTATTATGTCATCAGAACATCAGAGAAATATTTTACAAACCAACAACCACTCTGCTTTGGGCATGAGGTGGAAGGGGATTTCAGGATTTGACGTGTGTGTGTGTGAAAGAGGAGTACCCCACTTACAGTTTACTCAAGAGGAACTAAACAAAAATTAAATTATTGTGCTCAATGACTGGCTGCTGTCTGCTCAGCACAGTGTGCAAAGCAGGCTGTCATGCCATGAGGCTCCATGGCAGTTTTGCCTTGTGTGTAATGTTAGTCTTGGTCTGAGCTTGGTGCCTAATGCATCCGATGGGCAGCATGAAGAAGGAACAAAGGCTGGGTGAAAGGATGAATGGGAATAAAATCCTTAAGGCGGTGGATATGTTCTTTACTACAAATTCTTATTTTCCTATTTATTTGGGAGAAGGGCTGTGTGTACGGATATGCAAACACTTGCTGTATCATGCCCTGTGGCAGAATTGTTGCAGGGCTTCCTTTGTGCTTAGAACAACGTTGTGTTGGGGAGAAGGGTGGGACAAGCAGAATCTCATTTGTTTGACTCCTGAAAATTTCACTTGACACACATGAAACACAGTCCTCTGCATAACTAAGGACTAAATTTGGTAACTTTGGTATTGCCAAGACTGAAGAGCTTTTGGTCAAAGGCTTCTCTTAATATGTGTTACTGCAGGTCGCTCCACCACTTTGCCCTTTGGTCTGTGAAAAGCAGCCAAATGCTGAAACATGATACTCTTGAGGATTGTGCAAACAAAGGGAATATTTGCATATAGAGAATAATATTGACATTTGTGTGTACACAGTGCCACTTTAAATCACACTGAACAAAGTTGTAATTCAGGCTGCTTTGTTAGGTTTACATGCTGTATAAATTATGACTGATTCTTATAAAGAGAGCTCAGGAACAAAGTAAGGCATGGCTAAAACATAATCGAAGTCTAATATTAACAGGTAATGCAAACAACTGGAACATTATATAGCACTCAATTGCATTTAAAATATCCATCCAATTATTAGCACCCAACAATTTGAGAATCTATTGAGATTTTTCTTCAGTCAGCTTGTTTTATCAAAAACATCCTCTAAGAGCCAGTGCATTGCAATTATCCACTTTTCCGATGCTAGCAATCATATGACAGAGTAGTTGTGTGGGTGGAAATATATTTGAGAAAGCATCTTAGCAACTGTCTTAATTGTTAAGTAAAAATAACTTTCTGTCTGGCAATGGAGAAATTTTTGCCAAATACCAAAATGTTTTTTTTTTTCCAGAGATTATTTGTGTATAAATATTGTGAAATCATAAAGTAAATTCATTTTCAATGATAAATATATCTTCTTATTTGTTCTTTTATTAAAAAAGGCCAAAAAAATTTTAAATGTGAAATATTCAGCATGTGTCTTTAAAAAGAGAAGGGGAAAAAACATAGGAGCCCAAGAGTCAGACAATATAACAGTATAGTTATTGGCTACCTCTTTTTTGTTTTAAGTGGCAAAGGGAAACCAGAAGCTGTACTGATCTTTCTGAAAGAATAGATCCATGGGGAAATAATTTATTTGTATGCCAGGCAGGGAGATATCAGCTGTCCTACTCAGCAGTTAAAAGTAGTGAAGGAGAGTGTTTAACTTATATTACCCCAGTGACTAAAATGCAGCCTCAGTACTGGTGTTTCTCTGAGGCTAAGGGTGCACTTTCCCAGAACATCTCATTTACAGATGCTATAAAATACTCTTCTGCAATTAGTTTATGCACTTGACCTATGTTAAAGTAGAAAGTCTAATCCAGTAAGTTTCAAAATATTCTTTTAGTTTGAAATACTGATTTTTTTTTCAGTATTTATTTTTCTCACTATGCATATTATCCCAAAATTATATTCTATTTATTATTGTATTGCATAGATCTCCATATCTGCTCTATATTGCCAGGCAATACGTTTGTCACTATTGCATTTCAGAAATTCTAAGTAGACTTTTTGTCTATTTATGTGAGAAGCTTTTCTGGTTCCCACCGCATATCTGGATATCAACAGTAGTTATAGATAATCAATATGTCCATGATATATATAGGTGTAACCACAGTATGATCAATAGTACTATGGCAGCTCACTAAGTAAATGAATTGATTGTAATGTATGATAGGTGATTAATCTATGAAATCTGGGAGTTGCAAATTCAGTGTAGTACATATTTATACCAAGAGAAAGAAAGTACCGGTCATATAAAATAAGCATCCTGATGTTATGTCATAAGAGTGAAAACTTCCAAAGTAGTACCTATTCATTAGCAGCTTGTCTTGCTATCTTGGTTTTCCTTACCAAGGATTGTTTGACTGCAGATTTTCTTTTTTGCTTGTTAAAACTTCTCTTACAGAGCCAGCCAAAACATCATGATTGTGAAAGTTACTATTAAGAATGAATTAATGAAGCTGTAGTCTGATTTGTGTTGTGCAGGGCTCTCATTCAAAGGAATTCAAATGAAACTCATGTAAAAGTGAAGGGGGAAGGAACACTTTACTACATAAGAAGTAGTGAAATCACAATAAAATTGCTGAATTGATATAAAAATGAAATTGCAATGGCTAAATTTCCAGCACGGTGGATGGTAAGCACAACACCAAGCAGGAAGGAGGTCTAGCTTTACCACACTGAGTTTGAAATCCAGATAAACATTGCATTCCAATGTAAAAAGCATAGAGTTAAAAATAACTCCAGTTAAGCAACTTAAGTTAAGAGTGCTGTGGTACATGTCCCACTTATTTCTGTATAGCAGCCCAGAAGTCCCACGCCTGGTAACCAGGAGGTCACTGCAGCCCATGTGCTGGGAGCTGAGGCTGGGGCAGGTGGGACGCGCTGCCCTTTGCCTGAAGCCAGGTCCCAGAGTGCGGGGGTGCTCCCCACCTACCCCATGCTGTGATAAAGGAGGTGCTGCTGCCAGAACCAGGGCACTGCCAGCCAGTGTCATAGCCAGGAAAAATACTGAGCAGAAATTGAAGAGGAGTCAGAGGGTGAGAGTGGCAGCTGATTATTGCTGAGTACTGTGCAGCGCTAATGTCCTGATGGTTAGCTAGGGACAATACAGCATCCCCAAATAATGGCAGTCAGCAAGCAATTCCAGAGACTTTGATATGCATTGTGCTCTTTAAAGTCCTCACATGTACCCAATATAAAGGTAGCTTTTTCGCTTTCACATGTTGGTCTATAATGAAAGCATAGTTCCCAACTGGATTATCACTAGTCATGTATCAGAAATGAAATAGAGTTTGTAGAATGAAAAAAATTATAAGGATCATCTCCATGGTTTTGTAAGGTTAACAGGATACTTCAAATCTCCAAGGGATATTTAAAGTCTTTTTTGTGTGTGTGTGTGTGTGTGTATGCTCATCAGCATAAGTTATAAGTTGCTCTTAAATTTGCACATCTTCCAGTACAATGAGATATCATGGAATCAAAATTTATAATCACTACTAAATATCAAGTACAAAATGTCTGAGGTTTCCTCATTGGTGCTGCATGTAAGTAGTGTTGGGCAAGCATTGATTCATTGGTTATCTGTATCATGTATCTGCAGTTCATCATGATTTATATGGTACATCTGTGATCACAGCAGATCAAATGGGTGTGAAGGACGGAAATGTGATTGCCTGCTCCAGCTCTGCCAAGGATCACTGACCAGGCTGATGGTTGTTCAGAAGGCTCCAGAGCATCATCTAACCATACGATCTAACCAGGTATTTGATAAATTTACAGAACCAGACCTACTAAAGTTAGATGGTCTCTCTAATCATGGAATCACAAAATGGTTGAGGTTGGAATGGTCCTCAGGAGGCTATATGGTCCAATCTCACTGCTCAAGGCAGGACACCTGGAACTGCTTGCCTAGGACCATGTCCAGATGACACTAGACATAATGGCCTTCAGTTAAGAAGCACAAATCTGATGAAGTGTCAACTGTAGAAGTCTTAATCCAAATCAGGACAAGCACATATATGAAAAAATATATATTATTATTCTTATGCCTGAATTGGTATGATTTGATTGCCATTATAATTTCTACTATAATATATCGGCATCTAGTGGAATATTTTTGTAACTGCAATGTAAATTTTGAGCAAATTTGTGTTATTGTAGAGCTTTACAGCATAGCCACCAATGTTAAAGTATCCTATTGATAGGATAAAATGTGTTTCTGTATGTAATCCAGTGGCACTAAAGTCTTGCAATGGCCATGCTCACTAGAAATTCTGTATTTCCTTAAAAATAAAGTTGTGATTGCAAATAGATTTCTTGGTGGTGCTTGGAAAAGGTGAATTCAATGTCTTTTAGCAATTAGAATTGTTGGAATGGCTAGTGCTGTTAGAATGGTTTATTTCCAGTAGCCTGGAAAATAAGAAAATGACGTGACAGGGAAAATATTACTCCTGTATGAAGATAGATGAACTACTAAATATTTATCTCAGATTAGCTTCCAGGGAGGGAAACCTGCTAACTGAAGTTGTATTAGAGTACACAGACATTCAGTTATGTGAAGTAAGAGAAGTTCAAAACGTGAAGTGAAATATAAACAGAGGACTAAGGAGAATCCCCATCCTTTACTGGATGTGGGAAGGAACTTAAGGAGTTACAAAAGATAAGGAAAAGGCTGAGGTGCTTAATGCCTTCTTTGCCTCAGTCTTTAGCAGCAAAACCAGTTGCTCTCTGGATATCCAGTACCCTGAACTGGTGGAAGGGGATGGGGAGCAGAATGTGTCCCTCGCTATCCATGAAGAAATGGTTGGCGACCTTCTACAGCACTTGGATGTGTGCAAGTCGATGGGACCGGATGGGATCCACCCGAGGATACTGAGAGAACTGGCAGAGGAGCTGGCCAAGATGCTTTCCATCATTTATCAACAGTCCTGGCTATCAGGGGAGGTCCCAGTCGACTGGTGGCTAGCAAACGTGATGCCCATCTACAAGAAGGGTCGGAGGGTAGACCCGGGGAACTATAGGCCTGTCAGTTTGACCTCAGTGCCAGGGAAGCTCATGGAGCAGATTACCTTGAGTGTCATCACATGGCACTTACAGGGCAAGCAGGTGATCAGGCCCAGTCAGCATGGGTTTATGAAAGGCAGGTCCTGCTTGACGAACCTGATCTCCTTCTATGACAGTGACACGCTTGGTGGATGAGGGAAAGGCTGTGGATGTGGTCTACTTTGACTTCAGCAGGGCTTTTGACACTGTTTCCCACAGCATTCTCCTCAAGAAACTGTCTGCTCATGGCTTGGACTGGCGCATGCTTTGTTGGGTTAGAAACTGGCTGGATAGCCGGGCCCAAAGAGTTGTGGTGAATGGAGTCAAATCCAGTTGGAGACTGGTCACTAGTGGCATTCCCCAGGGCTCGGTACTGAGGCTGGTCCTCTTTAATATCTGTATCAATGATCTGGATGAGGGGATTGAGTGCACTCTCATTAAGTTCGCAGATGACACCAAGTTAGGTGCATGTGTCGATCTACTTGAGGGTAGGAAGGTTCTGCAGGAGGATCTGGATAGGCTGCACCGATGGGCTGAGGTCAACTGTATGAAGTTCAACAAGGCCAAGTGCCGGGTCCTGCAGCTGGGGCACAATAACCCCAAGCAGAACTACAGGCTGGGAGATGAGTGGTTGGAGAGCTGCCTGGCAGAGAAGGACCTGGGAGTATTGGTGATAGTCGGCTGAATATGAGCCAGCAGTGTGCTCAGGTGGCCAAGAAAGGCCAACAGCATCCTGGTTTGTATAAGAAGCAGTGTGGCCAGCAGGGCTAGGGAAGTGATCGTCCCCCTGTACTCGGCTCTGGTGAGGCTGCACCTCGAGTACTGTGTTCAGTTTTGGGCCCCTCACTACAAGAAGGACATGGAGGTGCTCGAAGAAGTCCGGAGAAGAGCAACGAAGCTGGTGAGGGATCTGGAGAACAAGTCTTACGAGGAACAGCTGAGGGAGCTGGGCTTGTTCAGCCTGGAGAAGAGGAGGTCAGGCGACCTTAACGCTCTTTATAAATACATTAAAGGAGGCTGTAGTGAGGTGGGGGGTTGGTCTATTCTTCCATGTGCCTGGTGACAGGACGAGGGGGAATGGGCTAAAGTTGCACCAGGGGTGTTTTAGGTTGGATCTTAGGAAGAACTTCTATACCAAGAGGGTTGTGAGGCATTGGAATGGGCTGCCCAGGTTAGTGGTGCAGTCACCATCCCTGGAGGTCTTTAAAAGACGTTTAGATGTTGAACCTAGCGATATGGTTTAGTGAAGGACTTGTTAGTGTTAGGTCAGAGGTTTGACTCGATGATCTTGAGGTCTCTTCCAACCTAGACAATTCTGTGATTCTGTGATCTTCTTCTTTATTTAATAGTAATGAGCAAGCCATGTATATGCATACATACAAAAAATCAGATCCTAATTAACAGAACCTCAGAAAGTAAGGCTGAAAGGGACTGTCGTATCTGTACTCCGAAACCAATGAACTATGTTAAAAAACTACTTCTGATCTACGACAAAAAAAAAAAAAAGCCCCTCTATTTCTTTCTGAATAAGAACAAGACAGTCTGGCTTTCTTGCAGGAATTATCACAAGGATGGTATGATCTACTAACAATCATTGTGCTAACAAACTGGGCTTCAACACCTGCTAGTGTTGATATAATCAGAAACTTTCAATAATTGGTTTGAAAACACGACACAAAAGATGTGAAAACTGAATACAGGTAATCTGAAAATTTGAAATGAACAATTCAAGTAAATTTAAAATGAACAACAACAACGAAAAAGCACTGAATAGGAAAATGGTAAGCAAAACAAGCTTTTTCTAAAAGGAGGTAAGTGATTGTAAGCTGTTCTGGATAGTATAAACAGTGACTCAATAGGTTGCTGTAGTGAATTCAGAAATAAAAGAGGATGAATAGGCAAGAATTTGAAAGGATAATAAAAATTGAAGCCAAGTATTCTTTGTTATTCTTAAATTCATTGATGTACACATAAATGAATGTGTACATTCATTATGTACATTCATTACTCATAAATTAATGAGTGTTATTGAAAAGCATGGTTTAAAAAAAATAACCCAATAGCCATTGCCTATAAAACTCTAAAGTATGTGTTTAGTGAATAACTTCTCAGGTAACATAATATTTGTTAATATTTAATGAAAACAATTGTAACCTAGCAAGCCATCTTTACTGATCCATATAGTTAAAGAAAGATTTCTGGTAAAGACATATAAAGCTACTTCATTGTTTTGTTAGGAAATCTTTCTCTTTGTTTGGATGCCTACTGAAAATTAAGGAAAATATTTTAATAAAGTGAAAATAAATTATGGGCCAACTAAATCCCTGGCTCTCGTATGAGCTTATGCCACAAGACTGCAGTGCTAATGCTTTCAGGCTAACATTACTTTTGAAGAATATTGAAGTTAAATGGATTCCTTCTTTTCATGCAAAATTCAGCTTAGTTTTAATTATTGAGCTATGACTAATGCCACCAAAATGTATATACATGCATTTGTACATCCTTTTTTTTTTTTTTTTTTTTTGAATGTAGTTTATACTGTGTTTCAAAGGAACATTTGTTTAACGGCAGTAAGAGAGCATGTAGTAATGTCAGTATGACACATGACAGTTTATCTGGCAGCATGAGATTGATTCCACTCTACACTATTTTGTATTTGATGAATCATACAATGTTATGGTAGGCCATGGGATAATCATCTGATATGGGTATCGTAATTTTTATGTTTTTTAAAAATAGCTTCTTTTTAATTAAATTAACATTTAATTTCAATTCATTAAATAGCTTCATTTTAATTAAATGTTAAATAGCAGATTATTTTTCTACTTTTTTTTTTGACCTCTTCTGAAAGATAATTGCATGTTATTTCAGAGTATTCATGACTCCTGAAGCACTTTTTTTTTTTTTTTTATGAAGTAATAAATGTCAACTTATATGAAAAGATTGAAGTGGAAAAGCTGAGTAGTACACACACAGCATTTGCAGTAATCATTTGTTCAAAACATTCTGTGATGGTCTCAGAAAGGATTAGCCTAATTACTGAAAACTAATCGATTAAATCTGTGATCTTAATTGTATAATTTTGAGTAATGTAAATTAATAGACCATTTAGAGGTTTAATAGCAGCAAGTCTGGTTTTGCACAGTCCGCACAATTTGTTTTTCACAATTACTTTTTGTATTTCAGTTACATCAAGTGGATCAGGAATGATAGCTTCTTTCACTTTTCAAAGGAGCATATATACAACTGTGTTTTATTGATTTGGCATAATTTACAGCTCTTTTAAAACTTGGTAGAAAGCTACTGACTAGAAAAAAAAAAGCATAAGTATGTGATTACACCCATCAGACCAAAGTTATGCTTCAGTGCTCTCTCTTTTCTGGTGCTTTTGTTAAGAAAGGCAACAGAAACTGCAGTTATCAGCATCCCTAGATATTGACTGTTCCTTACAGCATGGAGGTTATGTACATGTGTATATACACACAAGCACATATAGTTGTTTACCTTTCATCTCAGTTTCTGACAGAAGCTAGGAAATGAAATGTAATCTCTTATGGCTTTGTGTTTGTGTTATCTGTTGTGGGTTGGGGAAGATCCTGGGTCACTGTCCAAAGGCACTGTCACAGTTCTCATCGTGCAGGCAGATAGGAAGCAATTGCACAGTGGGTGCCAGGCTGTTTACTCAAGAGCACATCAAGAACTTTACCTGAAGTTATGC